AGAAAACAGCTTTGATGCTGTGGCAGAGTTTTACAATGTCGATAGGGATCTTCTTGAAGTGTAGAAGAGTATGTATAAAAATTCCATCATGGACGAGTCCAATCCTCGGGCAAAAACTGCGGCAAACGTTGTCGACAAAATGTTTCAGGATGGACTATGCGACTTATTACCTGTATTATACGAGGCAGCAACCATTCTTGCGTCGATTCCCGCTACGTCCTGTACTGCTGAAAGGTCATTCAGTGGTTTGCGGCGCGTGAAAACCTACCTCCGCTCGACAATGGGCGAAGAACGCTTGAATTCTATCGCTGTCATTAACATTGAACGAGCATATGCTAACCGAACTATTAAGAATGACATGGTTAAAATAATTGACACTTTTGGTAGACGAAATGGACGAGATAGCTATTTCTTCTAAATGAAACCTTTTAGCCAGGTTTCAAAATTGGTAAACTCATTTGTAAACGTCCAATTTAAATGTTCAATGCGCTTGTTAAAATTTAGATAATTCATTTGTAAAATCAAATAAAAAGTCTGATCAAAATTCGGGCATTTTTTGTCATCAGCTTACAAATTCGGGCAAATTTTGTTTGCCCCCCCCCCAAATAGAATTGTGCCCGTACGCCTATGGTTTTTTTGTTTCTGCGAATGCAGATATATTGCTATCGTGCGCGTACCGGAAGTTTGTAAGCGTGCTTCTAGCCAATCAGCGACAGCGTATAGATGAAATGACGTAATGATAATGATTTCAAAATGGCGGTTTACTGAAGAGTGAAACAAAAGGAAATTTGTGAATTTACAATTAAAATTAAACATCAAACGCAGTCAAAACAACGTCATTTTACTAGTCTGAATATGGCAAAGGTCCAGAGTGTATTTTTGGCAAGCATTTGAAGGGTTTCATCATTTAATACGCAAGGGAAAAGAAATTATTTGCAATTTTAGACAAAAAATGATTGACTAATGGCAGTGAGATTATGAGATACTATTATGAAAGTAATGATTCTTCCACATGTTACCCTTTGTAGGTGTATATCGAGTGTAAGTGTTGATGTTTATGTACCTCTCAATTTAACATTTTCATTGGTGACATCAATTATTATATAAATTAGTTGAATGAAACCAATACTTATAGAAAGCCTTTATATAATTTCTTTATCAATGCTGATAACTATACACGATTGGTGTCTGCTTTCATTACAGACAACCGGACTTTGATAGATCATTTTTATTCAAATTTAGCAGAATCACAAGCTAAGTCACACATATTCTCTGATCATAAAGCAGTATGTGCTTTGATTATAAATTGTTTTCATTAAAGCAAAGCCAAAGTAACAGTTGCAACCAGTCATAATTATCAACTTGCAGTATATAACTATATATCCTGCAGGGGGTGCTCCCTTCTTCATCCACCCTGATTTCTGCAACAGAATGTCATTGCCAGGAGGCAGGAACACCAGGTAAGCCATTTATATCCCCCCTTCCCCTATCCCATACTTTATTGTCTTACAATCATCAACAACCATATGTCATAATGGGATCTTATTTATAGCACACAATGTACTAAACTAAACCTACTATTCTGTTTATTGGATTTTCTTCCACGACAAAATATTATTGCATGGATCTGGTATGCTGAATTATATAATTCTATTCAAGCACTATATGCATCAATTGTACTTCTAATTTCCACAGTGGTGCCTAAATTACTTTGAATTTGTTCTCGAGTAAAAGTAAAAGTAAAAGTAGAAGTAATTAACAATAAAACGACTTGAGTAAGAGTAAAAAGTACTGGAAGCAAAACGTACTTAAGTAAAAAGTACAAAGTATCCTTAAAGGATATTGGCACTCAAAATTTTTATTACTTATATCTATTAGGTATACTTGCGGAATATTTAATTTCATATTTTGGCCGGTTTGTCGCGTTTAGTGTTGAGAAAATTTGATAAAAAGTTCAACAGTTGTCCGCCATTTTGAAAATAAGCGCGTATGCTAATTTATGTTACAAAATACATTATCTGACGTCATTGGCTGGGTAAACACAATTTCATGACTATAAACAATACCGAGTATTGCCACGTGTAGTGTATTTTGAGCCGAAACAAAAGCCAGCAAGGTTTTACCAAGCATGTAACTTGTTTGTAACACTATTTCTCATAGTATATATCCTACTGCGTGTTAAATAAACGCAGAAATTCGAGTGTAACAAGACAAATACTAATGCAATATTTTATTATCAATTACCTGTATTGTAAATTGAGCCATTCCTTGCTTTCTCAGTCGCTCGATACGTTTTTTTATCTGATAGTGTAGACTTATCTTGTTTGATTGCGAAGAGTGTTGGCCAGTATAACGCTCAAAACGACATATTTTAGCTAACATAACACGCACGCAATAGAATTCTCTCTTGTAGTTTTGGTGCTACCCATCCAATGACGTCACAAAGTTCATTGACCTTCGAGATAATTTTTCAAAAAATATTTTCAAGATGGTGGCAAAACACAAAGTTTGCATGCATGTTACTCGTAGACTAAAATGTTTGAGAACGAAATAATAATATTTTCATGGTTAGGTCGTCAAGTAGGATTGAAACATCCAATAAAAATTTTCGGTGCCATTGTCCTTTAAAAAATACTTGAAGTACAAAGTAAAAATAAAAATATTATTGTCTGTAGCGTGTAGAGGGGGAGGGACTTCTCCAATGAATTGACATACGAAAGACACAAAATAGCACACGCATTATATGCGTTCACCGAATAACGATATTTCACGGCATGGTTTACTTTCCAGACCCCGTTGAATATATAAGAAATCGATTTAGTAAATAATGCTTATAAGTATAAGTCACAAACGAGAGATCCTAGACGCATGAAATTAGAATAAATTAGAAAAATGAAACAAAAGTTATAAAAGTAACGAAATACTTCGCCACAAAATGAAAATAACGAAGTAACACGTTACTTCTTAAAATGACTTCGTTCCAAGTATAAGTACTCCAGAAAAATTTACTTTGTTACATGCTCACTTCTCAAAAATAGTACTTTTAAGTACAGTAACGAAGTACATTTACTTCGTTGTCAAATCTTGACACCACTGAATTTCCATACCTGTCATCATTTGTTACTGATGAATGATCTTCAATATATAACCTATTTGATACATTTATTTGGCATAGACAGTTGATATATTTGTGCTCCATCAACCCTGACTATGACATTTTTAAAATGAAATAGATCAATTATAAACAGCAGAAATGTTGATGTCATGTATCAATTATGGTATAAAAAGGCTTTCAAAACTCTGCAAGTGTATGTTGGCAACACCTGTTATCCTGACAGCATCTACGCATCTAAAATGTTCTCGCATGCCTGCTAAAGTTTGTTATGAACTATAAAAAAGATTTGGAACCCGACATGTTTTAACAAGAAAATTATAAAACTGAAATGATTCAACAAGAACATCATAAAACTGAATATCATGTTTGTGAAGTTATGGCCAAAATTAGTTTCTGCAAGTTGAATATATATCAGTCATTTTATTTGTTTTCTTTTGACATAAACATCAGTCTCTTAATATTTTTACAAGCTACTGAGTATTGATTGAAGCCCTTGGCAACAGCGCAATAGGCCAATCAACATGTGCAGATACATGTACGCTTAGCGTACCTATTTTTGTAAATTGCAACCAAAATCTTAAAATTTACGAGTTTCGCAATAGCATTTTACTACATGCCATACCTCAAAATGCGTACTCTTGGAACCAGTCACTCGCGCGCGATAGTTAAAATTATGCAGGATAGGTCACTTCTGCCTACTCTTGTGAATTCAGATATATTTGATGTAAACAATGAGCAACACCATTTTCAAGTTTCATATATTATTGCGACAAAGCGTATTTTCTGGCTTTGTACGAAGATATTTAGCAACACCAGGCAGTCTTTCAAGATTATGAACTTATGTGTACACTACTTCATCTTTACTTTATTTCAAACTTTTTACTAAACATTTACGGCGATCCATTTATCCAGTTTTGGTTTCAAATTAAGTTCACTCCAATAACCGGTGAATTATTCATACTTTGACACTTATATACTATATAACAAAACACTTATTTACTGAGACCTCGGGAAAGCAGTGTGTTTTGTGACATCTCGACCGCCGTTGTTGCCCTCGGCTTCGCCTCGGGCAACAAGGGCGGTCTCGGATCCACAAAACACACCGTTTCCCTCGGTCTCAGTAAATAAGTGGTAATTGTTGACCGGTTGCCTCCTCGTCAAATAATGCAGTGAACATGACGGTTTGTGGACCGACACGTGATACGGTTTTGACCAATCGGCAAACAGAAAAATTGAACTTTGACACTAACTATATAACAATTGTTAATTATTATATAGAAATGTCAAAGTTAAATTTTCTTGCTTGCCATGTCATGTTTACTGCATGCTTTGGTGAGAGGGCAACCGTTGAACAATGAAACAATTGTTGACTAGTGCTCGCGTCTGCCGGTCGATTTGGAAGTCGATCAAAAGTAGATTTTTATCTATTATGAAGAGATAAAGATTTAATTTGATACCAGGTAAATTTTTGAGACTTTCACGCTTGCTATAGTAATAAAACATTTATTCAGTGAGACCTCGGGGAAACAGCGTGTTTTTAACTCAACGCTCCTCAACCGTCTTTGTTGTCCGAAGCGAACGACAATCTCGGGGCAACAAAGCACGCTGTTTCCCTCCGTTTCAGTAAATAGGTGATAATTATTGCAGGCTTACGACGTCTGGATGGATTTACCGGCATGACGCAGTAAAAATATAGTAGTAAAATTAACTCAGCGTTCTATGACTATGGTCGTATACAAAATGCAAATATATATACAACAAACCTTGTTTAATTTTCCATCTTTATTTGTATACCCAGACGGGCATTGAAACATCTACAGATGAAGAACATTGTCTCAACATGAAGTATTTCAAAATTAAAAACAACGTTGTAGCACAGAGTACACGCGTAAAAATTGATCAGGTTGTTGCAACATTGTTCGCTGAACAACGTTGCAACAATGAGGTTATCATGGCTGAACAACGTTGTTCAAGCGACAATCGTTAACAACATTGTTCCAACAACTTGTTCACGCTTGATGAACGAACAATGGTTGTTGCAACATGATGGAACAAGCGTCCGACAAGGTTGATGAAACATGCTTGATAAATGTTGTCAGAACAATGTTGTTCAGCGTTGTTCATTCATCAGGCGTCAACAATATTGTTCGAACAAGCGTGAACAACATTGATGAAAGAACAAGTTGTTTTTAGTTGTTCGAACAACCGTGAACAGCATTGTTATAAATAGACGGTAAAATAATGATTTGAACAACACGAAAACGTGTTTTTATTGGTTGTTGCGAACCGCTGGGATGCAAAACGGACGAATGCCACGAATATCACGAGAGCAAGAAATCAAACGGGATTTTACAGCAAAATAAATGTCGTTTAAACTTTGTGGTTTTTTCTGAAGATTGAGCATTTGAGGGGAAAATACTGAAGAAAATAACTTGGTAAGTGTCTTGTTTTGAGGTAAGGTTAGTTGTAAAAGCTTAAAACAACGCGACCTTTTAATTTTAGTCATTTTCATAGTACACGAAGAAATGCACACGCACAAAGTTTATAGTACTTTTATATAGGTATTGCATTTTGATATTTTTCTCGATATTTTCAGTATATATAAACAAGAAACCACGGTCATACTGTAATAAAAAGCCGTAATATAAACAAAACATTTAATTCTCAAAATATTGTTGAAATTTTTCCAAATGTCCTTCGCCCCTTCCGTCCCTATTGTTGTTTGTAATTTTGATCACTGCTATATATAAACAATTCCTATTGTGTTTTAACAAGGTCAACCAAATATTTGATCAGTTTACACACCAAGAATGATGTATTTACTGCATATAATATGTGATGGATAGATTATAGGTAGGTAGGTAAGAGTGCATACAGTTAAATAATTAGCCATTTCTCATATTTCCTCATAGTTTTATTTCCTGGTTAAGCAGGTGACTATAATTGTCATGGAAGGTATGAAGGAGGTAGCTATGATTTTATCACATGGCTATGGGGGATAATTATGACCATTATTATGCTCAAATGTAATTATTGTCTCATTTTTATCCTTTTTGTAGTGTAAACTTAAGTATAAAAATAAAGATTTATGAATATGTCAGACAAATTATATAAAATGGGTGATCACTTGGTAAGTAATTTTTATACCTTTGTTGTGGTCTGTGTAGATGGAGGCTATTTTGGCAATAGCCATGCACTTAGACATAGCATGACCAGTCCATATGTGGACTGCCTATGTCTATTAAACATGATTGAATACCCAAATTAGATTCAAGATTATGATATGTCCCAGGCATGGATCCAAAAATGACCATGTGCTGAAGTTATATGGCATGAGCCATGTAAAATATGGTGGGAAACATACAATTGGGGCTGCATCCCACCATAATGCACTAGTCAATTGAAACCCCGACCCCCGGGATAGGGAGGAGAAATTAACATTTTGACAATGTTAAATTTTGGACATTTAAATTCCTAGCTGCTACCGGGAGAATATTGACTGTTAAAATTACTGTCCCTATGGCCCCAACACTTTGCAAATTTTCATGACTTGGGAAATTTTCATGACTTGGGAATTAATTGTCCTGGCTAATAAATTGATTTGTTATTTATTACCCTGTACCCTGGGGGAAATCTGCATTAAGACCGTGTTAATCCATGGCCATTCCCCCGTTAATTCCCCGCCCTGTCCTGGGGTTAGGGGTTTCAATTGACTAGTGCATGCATAAACATTGCAAAGGTCCATTTTGTAAATTAATGGCACTATATGTATTTAATCATAATTTATAGGGCCTGTGAGTTCATATCTGGAATAAAATAATGGCAAATCTACAGAAATATCACTGCTAAGGAGTGTCAAACAAGTTCAGGAGGACTGAATTAACTGGATGTTCTCAGGATGAAAAAGAAATTGCTGACTTTAATTGAATAATCATTATCATTATAATGTTAAAGGTTAAAAATATTGAACATTCAAAAGGATGCAGACAGAAATTTGAAAGCAGGGCCTGAATTTCAGGTTAAGTGATCCAGGAATGGGGTTGGCCCTCTGCAGGCTAAATCAATTGAGGGAGATCCCTTTATTTCAAGTTAAATGATTATTTGAATAAGATGCCATTCAGGCAATAAGGGCCTGGTTAGGTCCATATTTTAATTCAAATTATTAAGTACTCGATTTATCCATCAACAAAACCCAACATTAAAATTTCCATCGAGTGAGATGCAACAAAACCATCAATTATGTTAACCTAATCCATCAATTGGCAATGAGCCTACTTTAGTAATAATTTTATATACTCCTGTATCTCTAATTTGCCCATTATATTTATAAACTGACAGTTAATACTATTACACTTTCACATATACTAATAAAATCATCTGGGCCCGGTTGTTTGAAACCCGTGAAAGCCTTCGAACTACCGGCCCCAGATGATTTTATTAGTCTGTGAAAGATTAATTATTAACTGTCAGTTTATAAATATAATATATATGATTATAATATACACATATATATGATTATGTACAAATTGCATGCATGGTTCATAATATCTCTGTGATAGACTTGCTCCAGCAGATTCAAATTCCATCCTGACAATACCTAAATAATAATTATAGAGGTTGCAGTGTTGCACTACCTTTTGCTAAAATACTGCCATTGTTTACCAGTATTTAATATGAACTCAAAAGTCAAAACACTTAACACTATGAAGTATTTAGATTTATAAATAGTACTTAGTATTTTATAAACCTTAATTGCATATAAAATAGTTTATAGTCATCTTACCTTTGTACTTTTACTGTAATTATCTCTTTAGTTTGTATTTGTTCACTAATCTGTATTTTCTTATTTCAAAATAAACTGAATTTCATATCAAGAAGCGAAGTTTGTCTGTTTGTGCCTTATTTAAAGGCACAGTTCAGCCTTCTGAGTGATGGTTTTTATGGCGCATTACAAGACTTTTAATGGACCTTTCCCCTTATAACTAAAATTTCGATCTAGACAAAAATTTCATCACAGCTTGAAAGAGCATCACAAAATTAGTAATATTCCAAAGTTTTGTTGCAAAATCTTGTAAAATGCGGATAATATAGCCTTGCGAAGTTTGCCGTTTTTCAGTCATTTTGTATTACAAACGGGAATTTGACATACGATTCGGGTGTTGGGGCTACAATTTCCCGTTTGTAATGCAAAATGACTGAAAATTGCAAACTTCACAAGGCTCTATTTTCCTCATTTTACAACATTTCGCAACGAAACTTTGGAATATTACTAATTTTGTGATGCTCTTTCAAGCTGTGATGAAACATTTGTCTAGACTTGCCTAGATCAAAATTTTGGTTATAAGGGGAAAGGTCTATTGAAAAAACTAACTAGGAAAATCAATTAAGCATAATTCAAAATCAGTGAACTCAATGTTAAAAAACATTAGAAATGTTTAAAAATGTTAAAAACATTGAAATCACTGATCTTGAATTGTGCTTAATTGATTTTCCTAATTAGTTTTTTCAATTCAAAGGCTTGTAATGCGCCTTAAAAACCATCATTCAAAAGGCTGAACTGTGCCTTTAAATTTCTCTCCCCCCCCCTGGAAAATGGCCACGAATAACAGCGTCGAAAACGATTGATATCAGGCTGTTTACGTATTGATAAAACAAGACTGTTCGCAGTTGTTGACAATATAAAACATCATTGATATCAGGTTGATCTCAGTTGTTCCAACAACGTTGTTCAGGCCTTGTTCGTTCATCAGGCGTCAACAACATTGTTCGAACAGGCGTGAACAATATTGTTGACAACATTGCTGCAAGTGGGCCGCACAATATTGCAGCATCCTGTTCAGAACCAAGTTGCAGCAACTTGTTGACAACTTGCATCAACCTGATGATTTTTACGCGTGTAGTACTGACTAAAGTAAAGTCTCAACCAAACAAGAATGAGAGTTGACAGTCAAGCGACCTTGGTTAACTGTTCTTAATGCTTTCCCAACACTGTTGTCTATTTAAATTAATTAAAACATAATTAGAACGATCAAACA